TTCTCAACCTTGGAAGCTTGAAGATGGGTGGACTTCAACTCCCAGAATCCCCCAGCCAGCGCTGCTGGCTGGGGGATTCTGGGAGTTGAAGTCCACCCATCTTCAAGCTTCCAAGGTTGAGAAACACTGCTTTAGAGTCTGCTCTTCTATTGGCAAGCTTTTTGGCCAGCCTTTCTAACCCATGGAGCTCAGCATTCCATTGTTGGATTTTTATCACACTGGTAGATGGACCTCTGAGGCTGAGAGCTGTCCGTGGTTGCAAGCAACGTTTCTTGGGGGCTTGTGAGTCTGTTGGTTGTGAGTCCACCACTGTTGGTGTCATGTATGCCACATTTATTGTCCCTAGTTGGCCCTGGTTCTACTTTCTCTGTCTTTTCCTCATTTGAGGACCTGTCCAACAGGGCCAAAAACAAACGGCGGTTGCAACTGCGTGATCAAAGCCCACCTCTTTTCTGACGTTTATTGCAACACACATAAAAAGAGGAAGGAATTGAATTCCGTGGTAGTACAGTGGTCTAAGGCACCCTGTTATTAAGCTGGTTATTAAGACCAGCTGCCTGCAATTACTGCAGGTTCGAATCTCGCCAAGGCTCAAGGTTGACTCAGCCTTCCATCCTTTCTAAGGTAGGTAAATTGAGGACCCAATTGTGGGGGCAATAAGCTGACTTTGTATAAATATATAAAGGATGAAGGCTATTGCTGAGCACATTGTAAGCCGCCCTGAGTCTCTGGAGAAGGGCGGCATATAAATCAAATTTTTTTTAAAAAAATGCATGATTGTGGTTTTCAACTTGACTTTTCTGACCCTATCCATGCAGGTAATGTTGGCCACCACAAAAAATTCTAGATTCTTTCAACACGCTTAACTGAGTTACTCATTTATCTCTTTCTTTTTTTAAAAAAAAGAATTTTTATTGAATATTTTACATTTTTAAAACCAAAGACGTAACAGTCAAAAAGTCAAAAGCAAAAAAAAAAAAGGGAAAAAGAGAAAGAAAGAAAACATACACATACACCAAACGGTAAAATACTAAACATAAGTAGCAACATTTTTACAACTTTCTGTATCGACAGTTGTCTTTGCTTTTAAATTCAATTCTTCTATTTGATCCATTAGTCTTATATAGCCATCCTAGCAACTCTTGTAACCAAAATTGTTATAGATATTTGTACCCTATTTATTTACATAGTTGGTGTTTTACCCTTGCCGATATTCAATACTTTTGGTTTTCAATTAAACAAAATTCAATTCACAAACTTATTTCTTATTTTGATTTCTATTTTCTAGCCACGTATAGAATCTATTCCACACTTTATAATAGTCCGAATAATCTCTTTCTTTGATCTAAGTTACTAACTTATCTCATCTAGTTAGTTGGCCCAAAACATTCAGGTCTGGGAACTCACAAGCTTCTGTTATGTCCCCCTATTCTGTTTAAACAGCTGAAATTGCAGAGTGAGATCATTTGAAGGTTTAGTGGAAGGCATCATCAGCTGACTTGCTCACCTATTCGCCAAACCCAGAGAAAGGAGTTGAAAATGATGAATTAGAGATGCTTGCAGTAAAGGAGTCTATTAAGGCCAACACACTGAAACTGCATAAGATGAAGAGGCTGCTTTCTGTCTACCTGAGTGTGTTCAGACAGTTCTTAAAAGAGATGTTATTTTAAAGGAACTATTTCTAAAGGACCCAGTTCCTTGTTAAAGGATCTATTTCTAAAGGATCTGGTTCCTTATTTTAGGGCCAAAGTTACTACAAATTAAGATTTGTATAAAGGTAAAGGTTCCCTTCGCACATATATGCTAGTTGTTCCCGACTCTAGGGGGCGGTGCTCATCTCCGTTTCAAACTCAAAGAGCTAGCGCTGTCCAAAGATGTCTCCGTGGTCATGTGGCCGGCATGTATGTATGTATGTATGTATGTATGTATGTATGTATGTATGTATGTATATTGACCCAGAATTGATCATTGGTAGCACAGTATTTATTTATTTATTTATTTATTGGTTCGATTTATATGCCGCCCTTCTCTGGAGACTCAGGGCGGCTTACAATGCGTTAAGCAATAGCCTTCCTACTTTTGTATATACCTGCTTAGTAGGGCTTTCGGCCCCCCCTAAGCGGTGTTCTTTTTTATACAAAGTCAGCTTATTGGCCCCACAATCCGGGTCCTCATTTTACCTACCTCGGAAGGATGGAAGGCTGAGTCAACCTTGAGCCTGGTGAGATTTGAACTTGCAGTAATTGCAGACAGCTGGTGTTACTTAACAGCACTTTAGTCTGCTGCGCCACCAAGGAATGGCTAGAATGCAGTATTGCAGGCTAATTGTGCCCACAGTCTGGAGTTCGATCCTGATGGGCTCAAAGTTGACTCAGCCTTCCATCCTTCCGAGGTTGGTAAAATGAGGAGCCAGATTGTTGGGGGCAATAGGCTGACTCTGTAAACCGCTTAGAGAGAGGGCTGTAAAAGCACTGTGAAGCGGTATATAAGTCTAAGTGCTATTGCTATTGCTATTAGTGTTAAACAGATATTGACCAAACGCCACTTTCTTAAAAGGGAGTAATGCTTTGAGTAATTAATAAAAAAAAAATCCTGTCATTTTTTGCCTGCCCCTTCAATGTTTTCCCTGTTCATCCCTTTCTCTTTTAATATGCCAACACGGGACTCAGCAACCTTCTCATGCGCAACTGCATATGTTTGCACCATTGTGTGAGTGCAGGCACCAAAATATAAATACAGGTAGTCTTTGACTTACAATTATTTGTTTAGGACCATTAGAAGTTACAACGGCACTGAAAAAAGTGACCCATTATCACACTTAACAACTGTCATAGCATCCCCATGATCACACAATCAAAATCCAGGTGCTTGGCCACTGGCATACATTTATAACGGTTGCAACATCCTGGAGCCATTTGATTGTTCATTTTGCAATCTTCCCAGCTGGCTTTCAACAAGCAAAACCAGGAGGTGGGAAAGCTGGATTTGTTTAACAACTGCATGATTCACTTAACAGCTGCAGTGATTCACTTAAACAGTCATAGCAATAAAGATCATAACGTCGGACACAATTCATTCTACATTGGCATTGGCATCCTTCAGTCTCAAGAGACTATGGTATCGTGCTCTGGAAAGAGGTCCTAAAACAGCATCTAGTGTGACTAAAAAGGCTAATTCGAGAGTGGCAATTCCTTCCACCCTGAGGGCAGATACATTCTGCCCCCTGCCCAGCCCCCAGATTTCGCTGGTTCCGGGACTGCCTCTTTGCCTCAGCTTGCCGAACAAGTGTCTCTTCGAATTGGAGAAGGCCATGCTGCGTCTTTAGCAGGGGTGGGTTCTAAATTTTTTTACTACCGGTTCTGTGGGCGTGGTTTATTTTGTGGCGTGGCTTATTTTGTGGGTGTGACAATTCTTTAGGATTTAGCAGAGCTACTGGTCCACCAGGCTTTTAACTGCTTGCAGAGCTGTACCGGTCTATTCATTTGTTTTTGGAGGCACTGGTCTACCCACTTATTTTTGCAGGCACTGGTTTACCCAAGTATTTTTGCAGGCACTGGTTTACCCAAGTATTTTTGCAGGCACTGGTCTACCCATTTATTTTTGCAAGCACCGGTCTACTCATTTGTTTTCTTTTAACACTGATCAGCTGTAGGGTGGCCCTTTGAAGCCCGGTGGCAAAAGTTTAAACAGTTTTTTTCCCTCTAGCCGATAGCTGGGACTCAGGAGGCATCAACAGATTGGGGGTGGGGCCAAATAAAAGGTAAGAATAATGCAGGAGGGGTGGGGGTGGGGAGGGGACAGAGGGCAGGGAGGGCAGAACCGGTTCGGTGACGTCATATCGTCACCACTACCGGCTCGGTGAACCGGGCCGAACCGGGAGGAACCCACCACTGGTCTTTAGCCTCCAAGCTGAACGATCGGAGGTCAAGGTTTCCCAGTTGTTAATGTCGATTCCCAGGGCCTTTAGGTCCCTCTTGCAGATATCCTTATATCACAGCTATGGTCTCCCTCTGAGGTGCTTTTCCTGCACTAATTCTCCATACAGGAGATTTTTTGGAATCCGACTATCAGCCATTCTCACGACATGCCCCAGCCAGCGTAGATGTCGCTCTTTCAATAATGTATACATGCTAGAAATTCCAGCACGTTCCAAGACTCCGCTATTTGGAACTTTGTCCTGCCAGGGGATGCCAAGAGTTCGTCGTCATTCTACAACTGCCTTGTTTAACAACAGACAATCTGATCCCAATTGTGACTGTAAGTTGAGGACTACCTGTACATGTATTTTAAAAATGGCCAGGTAAACAATCTCACCAGTGGTGGGTTTCAACCAGTGTTACCACCTGTTTGCTTCATGCACGCGCTTTGCGCAAGTGCAGTGTATTACGGAACAGCTGAGATGTGGCAATCCGCTCTGCAGCGCCTTTCAGCTGGGCTAAAAACGACTGAATATAAGGTATGTATAACGCAGGGGCGGGCAGGAGGGCCAAGCTAACCGTCAGAGAGAACCGGTTCGTTCTCAGCTCACCATCGCTGCTACTGGCTCGCCTGAACCGGGCCGAACTGGTAGAAACCCACCACTGAATCTCACCTGCAGCATCTCTCGCCAAGTCAGGTGAAAAATGCTAAAAACTCAGATCTTCTCATGCAGTACCACCAATATCTCCCCAGATTGGATGGTACCATAACTTTTGCTCACTTGTTTTAAACTGTTTTTCTCTTCTTTTCTTTTTTTTTTAAAAAAATCATTTTGAAGTTCCAAGGACGCCATCTGCAGATGGCACCACCACCCCGTGCTCCAAAAAAAGAATAGACTGGAGGGAGAAAATTCTTTGAAACTAATGCTAGCAGCTGTCAGATCTGACTACTTTGCAATAAAGGCAGTTATGGGGATTAAGGTCTGGCTGAAAAGACACACTTTCAATGTGCAAGAAGAAGTAGAGCAAGAAAAGGGGGAGGAAGAAGAACCCAAACAGGACATAAACTGAGGATTTTCCCACCTTGAAGAAGACTCTGCAGATGAAGGCTTTTGCTCTGCATCCGCAGCCGGGCAGCAGAATTGGTGTAAAACAGTCTCATTCCTGGGAAAAAAAAAAAAGACAAACAAGTGGCAGATGAGAATTCAGCGCATTGACTCTCATTTATGTCCATTCCTGGCCACTGGTTCTCACTGGTAGTGCCAGTCCTTACAAAAGTAAAGGAGAACTTTGGTTATTTATTTATTTTTTTGAAACGTATTCACTGTACAATTCCAAGTCATCCAACTTCTAAAACTGAGGATTGGCACAAATGGTGTGCAGAGTGTATTGGGGCGCTCGACAGAAGACTGTCTCACTCTGAGAGACCACAAGGTTGAGCCCTCCTCCGTGTTAACATCTCTCTAGTGCAGAGGTGTCAAAGTCAATTTCATTCAGGGCCGCATCAGGGTTGTGTTTGACCTTGGAGGGGGGTGGGTGTGGCCAGGGTGAGCATTGCCATGTGGGCGTGACACGCAGACCAGTGGTGGATTGCTACTGGTTCGCCCCAGATCGGGCAAATCAGTAGCGGCAGCGATGGGAGGCTCCGCCCACCCGCCTGGACGCTTCTGTGCATGTGCAGAAATGTGCGCGCCCATGAACGAGCCACTAGCTATGGGTTTTGAAACCCGCCCCTGATGCATACTCGTGTCAGGGGTACCTGTGGTGGTCAAGCCCTAAGGCAGGACTTCCCTGAGATCCTCCCTCACTCTCATTATAATCTTCCTTCCTTCCTTCCTTCCTTCTTCTTTTTCCTTCCCTCTTCCTTCTCCTTCTTGCTTCCTTCCCCTCTTTCCTCCTTTTTCCTTCCTTGCTTTTTCTCCCCATTTCCTTCTTTTTCTTTGTCTTTCCTCTTTCCCTTTTTCCTTTCCTGTCCCTTCTTGCATGCTCAAATGCAAAAGGGGAAACATTTTCTCCTTTCGTTTTGTTTTTAGTTTGTTTTGATAGCCCTCTGCCAGCGAAAAAGGAGCTCGGGGGCCCCCGCGTGCCCCATTATCAGCCGCGACAGCCTACAGTCCTATGCCAGCTCCATTTTTGCTGGCAGAGGGCTGCAGGAGGCCGTCGCGGCTAAAAACAGGGTGCGGGGGGACCACATGCAGCCTCCGAGTTCTGTTTTCTCTGGCAAAGGTACCACGGACTGGTCTTTTGCTGTTTCTAGGCCGGCCCTGCAGTCCAGATCTAAGCACCCTCCAGGCCGGATCCCGCCCGCGGGTCTTAAGTTTGACACCCCTGCTCTAGTGAAACCTGGAGAACTCTTAGCGAGAAGACTCTTTGGGACTCCATCTTTAGAAGCAATAACGTCTCCCATGTGAATATCAGAGTTAGAACAACCGTGGCTTAGCCGAGTCCACATATTTATTTATTTATTTATTTATTTATTTATTTATTTATTTATTTATTTATTTATTTATTTATTTATTATATTTCTATACCGCCTTTCTCCCGTAGGACTCAAGGCGGTGTACAGTCAAGAAAAATATAGACACACAAACATCATAAAATTGCTAATTAAAATTATTACTTAGTTTGGTCAATTAAATAAAACCCAGAATTAGATAACATTTAAAAAATCATTCACATGTTCGTATGTTTAGCCCTGCCTGTTGGAACATCAGGGTCTTGAGGGCACAGCGGAAAGCACGGAGATCAGGGATATTCCGTATCTCCGGGGGCAGTTCATTCCAAAGGGTTGGAGCCCCCATAGAGAAGGCCCTCCCCCTGGGAGTCGCCAGTCGACATAATTTGATTGACGGTACCCTGAGTAGTCCCTCCCTGTGAGAACGAACTGGTCGGTGGGAGGCTATTGGTGGCAAAAGACGGTCTCGTAGGTATCTTGTTGATCATGCTGCTCAGTTCTGAAGAAAAATATAAGCTAATGAATAATGAAGTATTGTGTCCACTATGGACATAGGTTGGGTATATGGTACTTTTTAACTAAACTCTAAAAGTAATACCAACCTTGGTGGGGTTTTACACTGCACTCCTATTTGCTATTCAGGGGAAAAACTCCAAGATAATTCAATAATTCAGTCAAGCTGTTTTGTCTTTTCCTCAGGTATAAAAACATTGACAAGCATCATATCAAACTCGCTCACATTCTGAAATACAGGTAATCCTCAACTTATAACCATTCATTTAGTGACCATTCAAAGTTGCAATGGCACTCAAAACAACACTGCCACATCCTTTTGTGTTCCCCAAGACTCCCTTTGTAACACCCAAAAGTCAGCATTGGTTTCTGGCAGTAAATTAAGCCTGGATAGCTCAGCAGACTAATGCATTGTAATTTAACTCCAGCTGTCTGCAATTAGTAAGTTCGAATCCTGCCAGGCTCAAGGTTGACTCAGCCTTCCATCTTTTCTAAGGTAGGTAAATTGAGGACCCAGTTTGTGTGGGCAATAAGCTGACTTTGTAAAAAAATATATACAAAAGTATGAAGGCTATTGCTTAACGCACTGTAAGCCGCCCTGAGTCTCCGGAGAAGGGCGGCATATAAATCAAATTAAAAAAAAAAAAAGCGACATCATGCAGCCCTTGACTTACAGCAATTCATTTAGTGACCCTTTGAAGTCACAATGGCACTAGAAAAGGTGACTTATGACCATTTTTCACAATTACAACCATAGTAGCATCCCTATAGTCACATGATCAGAATGTGAATGCTTGGCAACTGGCATGTATTTATGAAGGGGGCAGTGCCCTGGGGTCCTGTGATCACCTTAAATGTCCTTATGACAAGCAAAGTCAATGGGCAAGCCAATTTCACTTAATAACCATGCTACTAACTTACAGTGGTGGAATTCATTTTTTTTTTACTACCGGTTCTGTGGGGGTGGCTTGGTGGGCGGGGTGTGGCTTGGGGTGGGAGGCAGGGGAAGGATACTGCAAAATCTCCATTCCCACCTCACTCCTGGGGGAAGGATATTGCAAAATCTCCATTCCCTCCCCACTCCAGGGGAAGGATATTGCAAAATCTCCATTCCCACCCCACTTTTGTGGGAATGATACTGCAAAATCCCCATTCCCTCCCCACTTTTGTGGGAACGATACTGCAAAATCCCCCTTCCCTCCCCACTCCTGGGGGAAGGATACTGCAAAATCTCCATTCCCTCCCCACTCCAGGGGAAGGATATTGCAAAATCTCCATTCCCACCCCACTTTTGTGGGAACGATACTGCAAAATCCCCATTCCCTCCCCACTTTTGTGGGAACGATACTGCAAAATCCCTCTTCCCTCCCCACTCCTGGGGGAAGGATATTGCAAAATCTCCATTCCCTCCCCACTCCAGGGGGAAGGATACTGCAAAATCCCCATTCCCTCCCCACTCCTGGGGGAAGGATATTGCAAAATCCCCATTCCCTCCCCACTCTGGGGCCAGCCAGGGGTTGTATTTACCAGTTCTCCGAACTACTCAAAGTTTCCGCTACTGGTTCTCCAGAACCTGTCAGAACCTGCTGAATAGCAACCCTGCTAATTTACCACTTTCACTAACTCACTTAACAACTGTGGCAAGAAAGTCACAAAATGGGTCAAAACTCACTTAACAACTACCTTTCTTAGCAACAGAAATTTGGGGCTCAATTGTGGTCGTAAGTCAAGAACTATCTGTACTGTCCTCTGAACGAGCAGCTTTAATTCTTCCAGAGGCTAACAACTAACTTTCTACTCAATTGCCAATAACTCTTGCATCAGAACCGTTGACTAAAAAAATAAAAAGGATGAAAGTGAAATCTTATCCCTATGCTTTCGCCACCTGTGCTCTTTTCAATGTTCTAACCAAGAACATTAATTTCAGAGATCTTCAAAAACTCTGGTTTCACAGGAATATGTTTTAATTGCTAAAGGGAGAAAACAAACAAGAACAACAAACATTTAAAAGTTTGAGAGCCTGTAGAAAATAGCATTTCCTAGCATAAGAAAGAGATACTGTAACTTCTTCCAAAGGATTTCAAAGGAGGAGAAAACTTCCAAATCCAGAGAATTTCGATGCTATAAAATCTTTCTCTTTTGTGTTCTTTTTCTTTGATTTCTCAGAGGGAGACCAAAAAAGCCTTGGTAGTACAGTGGTCTAAGGCACCCTGTTATTAAGCTGGTTATTAAGACCAGATGCCTGCAATTACTGCAGGTTCGAATCTCGCCAAGGCTCAAGGTTGACTCAGCCTTCCATCCTTCCTAAGGTAGGTAAATTGAGGACCCAGTTGTGGGGGCAATAAGCTGACTTTGTATAAATATACAAAAGGATGAAGGCTATTGCTTAGCGCATTGTAAGCTGCCCTGAGTTTCCGGAGAAGGGCGGCATATAAATCAAATTAAAAAAAAAACACCCTGATCCTAGTTAAATCTCACAACTGTATTTTAAACCAGGGAGTCTCCAACCTTGGCAACTTTAAAGCCTGGAGGACTTCAACTCCCAGAATTCAAGCAAGGCTGGCTGGGGAATTCTGGGATTTGAAATCCTCCAGGCTTAAAGATGCCAAGGTTGGAGACCCCCTGGTTTAAACTATCTCCAAAAATATTAAGAAACATGTTTGCTGACTAGTGAATCATTGGAAATTTGTGATGCTAAACAAGATTATGTCATTTATATTATCAGATTATATTTTATTTTTTTAACCTTTGTTGTATTGTATTGTATTTCATTTGTATTGTAAGTCAGAGAGGTTAGGGTAGAGGCAGTATGCACAGTCGGTAAATAAATGATCCAAAAATCCTGTACGCGCTCAGTACAGCATCCAAGAAAAGATCAAGCGTACAATTTTGTCCGAGCAGTTGGGTCTCCCAGTTGAAGTTCATCCATCAACAGAACTACAGATGGGTCTTCACTCACTCTTCTCCAATTGGAGGAAAGGAGACATTCCAGAGGGGAGGTGCTTTATGAAAGGTAGCATGCATTTTAACATTTTATTTTATTATTTATACCTCCCTTCTCCCCAATACAGACATTCTTTATGTTCTAAACCAGAGGTCCCCAACCTTTCGGACCTCAGGGACCGCTAAATTCATAATTTAAAATCCCGCAGACCACTAATATGATCTGCCTAATGACCAGCTGGGTGGGCGTGGC